CCGTCTCCAGGGGGGTCGTTTTCGCGTATATCTCCTCAGCGACAGGAAATGTCCTGCCCCTAACGCCAACGCGTTTCAGTCGCGGGATGGACCTTTGACAGCGCAAAAGATGACGAAAACGTTAGCTTCGTAATCTTCGAAAATACACAGCAGGGAAAGCAACTTTCCATCAGCCTTACTTCTGAGGTACCACCTCCTTCTCAAGACAACCAGCTAGTAGGCAAACTTTCTGCTAGGGTACTTAAAGGCAGCGTCCGCGATCAACCAAAGTGAAAAACCCTCCAATGAAAACGAACGCGGAGTACGCAACCACAGCGGAAATCCCACTCTTGCGGCTCGAAATCGATTGGTTGACGAGGGCGGAGTCAACAAGGCTGAGCTGACGCCTCCTTCCTGTTAATCCCGCCCCGACTGGTTAACAGTTATCAGTGCTTGCTGGCATTGATAAACGCTAAGTTTCTGGAGTTCCGAGGCCGGCGACGTGTATTGGAGAACTCACCAAAGGTCTGCGAAACTCGTCCACATGCCTTAAATTTCGTAGGGTCTTATTTCACGCTCTTCCACACCTTTTTCCTACTTTTTTTGATTAGTGCTTCATTGGCCACCTGTTCTAACAAATTTGACCCCTGAGACCTGCCAAAGTCCATCGCGGGCGCTGTCTTTAACCTCCGTCACACTGGTGACACACGGGTGTAGACAGAGTGGTTGTGGCACACCGAATTTGAGTGCAATGACTGTTTGCAAAGTGATGGCTATTACGAGCATAGCTTCCAGCAAAACACATTAATTGGTTCTATTTGAATCACTCAGAGGCTACGGTAATCAAAACGTCAAACTGCTGCCTCCTCTACAAAAGAAACAAGGTTAACATATTTACAGACACATGAACTGCCTTTTCCGCACACGCTTGTTCGCGTCTGTGCATTGCCGGCGATTCACACTTTTGAGATTTTTCCAAACGTAACTGTTAAGAATTTTCTCAAAACATGTATTGTTCATGGCTTACTGATGCTGCATTCTTAACAACTTGAAATAAGTTGTTAAGGTGAGCCACCTTGTCCACTCCAGAAGGCTACTGTCAATGCAAGGATCGGCAGAACTTCTGATGACATTTCTAAATGTATTCCATGCACCATGCCTCCTGTCTCCTTCACTTCGTCATTAGGGGTTACTGAGTACCCTTATTACGAATATTATATTCATTTTCAGCACAGACGCAAATTTGTCGCAGTGCCGACTTTGGGTCGTGACTTTCGGAGCGCGTCACAATAAGGGTCACGCCCGTTGATTACCTTTCAATGAAAGCTCATGAAAAGTTCGTTGGATAGAGCCACGACGCGAAGCCGGCGTTGGCAAAAATTTGGCACCAAATGCGGTGGGTCTGAAAATGGATGCCGTATGCGTAACTCTCCATTGAATCCCACTACTAAGACGGCATCAATTTTGGGAGTAAATGGTTGGGCCCAATTGGCGCTATTTTGGCGCTGTCCTCGGAAACAAGTCATAAAGGACTCCAAAAAATAAAGTGGGAAAGATTCGAAATTTCAAAGTAGTAATATGATCCCGAAAGTCTCTCGGTTTCTCTTGTTCGTTCAATGTCAGCAATGGACGCACCCAAGCAATAAAAACACTTAAACGGGGGGGGGGTTCATCAGGAACTGCGCGGCATTTAATGCATCAAGTTAGTGAGGGGGTTACAAGTCGGGAAGCACGATGGAGAGCTTGTGCCTATTCCTAAGAAAAGGGAAACGTGAGCAGTAAAAGACGCTACATAGAGGGAACAGTTAGTCCGACAAAGAATATCAGCGATGTCACTTCATAGTACTTAGAAAACATCACGATAAAGATATAATTTGTGCGAGGATTTCGGATGGCTTTCGCATTTGGTAGGTGCTAGTTTTATTGAAGTGACCTGATGTCTTAAGTAAACAGTCCTGCTCGATGGCTTAAAGGGTTCGAAATTCATATTTACTTCCCAATCAACCGACAGCCGCATCGTCTAGAGCCATCCCGAAGTCCTATCGGGATTCAGAACCTCAAAGAGAAAACCCAAGCGAGATGGAAAAATATGAAATTTAAAAGTGAGAAAATAAGAATCTGAACTCTGAACCATCTTACCCCAAAGACGATTCGTCGAAACGTTAGGCTACTTCAATGGAAGCTTTACTTATCAACCTTGAAAGGCAGACAAAACATAAACACAAATTACCTAGTATTAGGTTGTCCGGAAAGTTCTCAGCGTTTTGTGCACCTATTTTTTGTACATTCACTGCTGATTAAAAACTCATTCTGCCTTGCTTCTCAGTAGCACATCCTGTAGAGAATTTCTTGCGCTATCTGATGGTATAATTGCCGTTTCACCATTGCTTGATAAACCCCTTTTTTTCAAGATTTTTTCAAGCATGTGAAAAGAGCACTTCGGACGATTTTTTTCTTCGACTATAAATTGGGGCAATCCGCAATCGAAACAGCTCAACAAATTAACCAGGTGTGGGGGCCCAATAGTGCTAGAGAAAGCACTGTGCGGCAATGGCTCAACAAATTTCGTTCTGGAGATTTCAGCCTTGAAGATGAACCTCATAGCGGTCGACCTAAAGCAATATCTGACGAGGATTTTAGGGGGATTTTGGAGGCTGACCCATCCCAAACAGTTCGAGAGATAGCAGAAGAGCTAGGCCTTGGCAAATCCACTGTTGCAGATGGTCTGGAACGCATTGGGAAGGTGAAAAAACTCGACAATTGGGTGCCCCACAATCGGAGTGACCGGCAGGAATCGGCACGTCTCGAGGTTCCTTCTGCATTGCTTTTGCGCAGCAGAAACGACCTGTTTTTGGACCGAATTGTCACCTGTGATGAAAAATGGGTCATGTATGATAACAGGAGACGTTCCGGACAGTGGTTGGATTTCGACGAACCACCGAGGTAATTTAACCCTACTGTGAAGAAATCGACGAATTGTACCGAAAATTTTGTCAGATGCAGCCAACACTCAAAAGAAAGGGTCCGATTCCTTTGCATGACAACGCCCGCCCACACGTTTCACAAATCACTATCCATAAATTGAACGAATTGGGGGTTGAAGTTCTACCTCAACCGCCATATTCTTCAGACCTTTCGCCAACCGACTATCACCTTTTCAAATTTTCAGAACTCCCTTGCTGGAAAATACTTCATCAATCAGGACCAGGCAAAAAAGCCTTAGTGGATTTCGTGAATTTTCGACCACCCAGTTTTTTACTTTGATGGGATTTCTCGACTGCTGTCACATTGGCAAAAGTGTGCTGATTCGAATGGTGCCTATTTCGATTAAATCCGATGAGTATTAAAAAAGTTACGATCGTTTA